TTGAATTTTTTTCTAAAACAAATTTGTCTCGGCGTACTACAGATCGTATCATCAAAACTCGTAGTGGAATCACCCCTCAAAACCGTTCTATGATTCCTTGCTCTTCTTACTTTATGACTTGTTGGAAGTTGAGCATTCTTCAACGCTACTATCGTTTCCTTTATGTCATATGGGATCGCGCCATCTGCCCCGCGTGGGTCTGTCTTGTGGACTTCTGGTGAGATCTTGCTAGAAAAAATTGAAGTTGTTCATATTTTCACTTATGTAAGTGATTTCGAAAACATTATTTCCGGCATTGCAGCACGAGCGTCAAAGATTCGAGATGCTTAAGTGGGAGTCAAGGATATTGACTCTATACTTCCTACGCCAGAGATTAATTAATGCTATAAGATATTCTTCTGTAGGCAGTTTCTAAATACTTTCCAACGACAGTACCTTTATATCATTTTCAACCGGATAGACCTGCGCAACCGTTTTCTTCTGTCTTGGACTTTCTAGCAATATTGCATCAGTAAAATTCTGCATCGTAGACGCAGGTGGTTTCACTATAGGCATCTCTATAGGTTTCTCATTAGTCCTCTCTATAGGTTCTCTTTAGTCCTTTTTATGGGTCTGACTAGATGTCTCTCTATGGGCGCGGTGAATTTGTAAGGAGTAAAGTCGGTCCAAGTCGGATTCAGTGTCTTCATCAGCTTTTCATTGGGAGGGGTCATTAGACTGAGTTGTTCCTCGATCACAGGGCCACACTCCACCTATAATTTCAGTGAAACCATTTCTAAATGTATTCTTTTTCATTATCCTTCAAGCTAACGAAACTTGGTATAGTTTACGACACACTTGTAGTGTGTTTACATTTTTTTGTTTCTTTAAGGTATCGACATGCATATGTTCATTATATGATGCAGGACTACGTGCCGTATCGTCAGTCGTTCCTTCAATTGTCAGACGCCTTTATGACCTCCTTGGTTTTTAAATTATCTTCTCTCCTTCGGAAAGGCTAAGGTATTTCTAGATTTCTAATTTCTACTGTTCCGAGTCAGCACTCTCTTATTGTGAGGCTATGATTTCTTTTCGATTTGTAAGAAATTTCAGGCTGATGAAACAGATGATATAAATCAAAAGTATGAACAATGTGATGCAAATAGATATTTGTAACATAACCTCAAAATAGAGCGCTAACACGGAACAGTAGAAAATTATGAAAATCAAGGAGGCCATCAAGGCGCCCTACAATAGAAGGAAGGACTGACGACATGGCCTTAAATAATTTAAATGGCACTAATAGATCCATATTGAATGAATAGAACATAAACCGCATTGTTTCGATACGGGCATAGCAACAACTTCACATAATTTGTCTATGCTATAAATGGATCGATTTACGATCGGTAATCAAGATATATTAAGTTCTATGTAGACAATCTAGATTGGCCAATGTCTTCTATATACCTGCGTTCAAGGCTGTGATGAACAAAACGAAGTCGCCTTCTGAGCCTGACTCTTTTTGGTCATTAAAAATCAGTAGATGTGGCTTCAATCATGGACTAGTAAAAACCTTGGTAGGTAAATGTGCCTTACCAAAGTACAACAAAAAAAAAATAAGGTAACACACTCTACAACATATCGAGTTTTGGCCAAAATCGTCATTTCGCGATCCGACCAGACAAACCTTGGTTTGCTTCACAACTTTACCTCAGGCAAGGATCTCCTCTCGACGCTTGTCCCAAAGTTTCTTACAGGCACCCTCTCCGTCTGTCCGTACTTCGACTTGGACTTCTTGGCGGACAAGGCCGAGTCTAGCAGCACTTTCGGAGCCCTCCGAATCGCCAGGTTCTCGATGACGTATTCGTATTCGGTGAATTCCCGACCAAAACTGTCGCACATCACTTCATCGCAGCTGAATGTTTGCTTGCCGATGCAGGGGAAACATAACTTCACAAATAAAACATTTAAATAGTGTTATGTTCGTTGAAAAAGCCACCAATAGGGTAGCTACATTACCATTTATTAATAACGATTGGTGTAGTCGTTAAGAAATTGAGATACTGATACTACTTTTTATCAATAATCAATGCAGTTAGTCCATTTCAATCGCAGGATTTTGCTTGATTCACCAAAATTTCCCTCTGCATCCCCCCTGGATATTTGGTTTTCGATATTTTATGCCTTAAGGTTGATTCCCACTATACATTCCGTTTCCATTCCATATCAATTTCGTAAACGTTCCGTACAATGTGATTGTATACACAGTATACCTTACGGATAATGTGTGATAATGTGCATACACACGCAATAGCCTGCTTTAAGCGAAGGTGAATATTTAATTTCAATAATTTACGGAACGGTCACGGAATGGAAACGGAATGTATAGTGAGAATCAACCTTTATGCGTGTGAAAAGTGACGATTATCGAAAATGGTTTTCTAGGTTCTGTTATTTTCGAGTTGTCAGTCTGATAGAAAAAAGGGAAACCTGAATATCAAAATGGGAAATTCAAATAAGATCTTATATTAAGTGACATATAAATCCGAACACCCAGTTTAAATGGTTTTATTTTAATAAAAGTTGGTGAATGTATTCATCTTACTGTAAATAACAAGTGAAAAAATTTTCAGCCTTATCAGTTGGACATTCCGGTTTTTATACTGCTTTTTTTTAATTCACTAACGCTCTAAAAATGAATATTTCAGCCGCAGTAAAGAATCAATGTTGGCGGATTTTGGTTCTTGACATCCTTTACGATCGGTTACGATGCCTAGAGTACGGAGACCTGTACGATTTCGTCAACTTAGCGAGTTTGATAGCGGCCGTATAGTGGGACTTCGGGAAGCTGGACTTTCTTTTCGGGCAATTGCAGTTAGAGTGCAAAGAAGTGTAGACACTGTGGTTAGGTGTTGTCAGGCATAGCTTCGAGAAGGCCGTACGCAAAGAGCAAGGGGCACTGGACGCCGCCGTAGAACAACAGACCGTGAAGATCGCCGCCTAAGATTATTGGCCTTAAGGGACCGTTTCTCCACTACCAGGTCCATTGCAAATGAATGGTTTGCAGAACACGGAAGACCTATTGGCATGCGAAGTGTTTACCGACGAATGAGAAGTTTTGGCTTGTTTTCATACCGGCCACACTGGGTCCTCCCTTTAACTCGAGAACACCGACGTAATCGCCTTGAGTGGTGCAGACAACGGTCACTCTGGGATCAGGAATGGAACAGTATTGTCTTTAGTGACGAGTCTCGATTTTGTTTAGGCATGCACGATGGTCGTGCCAGGGTTAGAAGGCGACGTGGTGAAAGGAGGAATCCACAGTTTTTTGTTGAAAGACATGTTCATCACACTGTTTGAGGTGCTATAGCTTATGGTTCCAGGTCACCTAAAATCTTCATCAGAGGTAACATGAACGCGCAGCGTTATATCCACGAAGTTCTAGAACCCCATCTTTTACCCTATCTTGACACCCTGGCAGATCTAACTTTCCAACAAGATAATGCCCGACCACATGTTGCAAGAGTCACAATAGACTTCTTTCAACATAATGATGTCACATTGTTACCATGGCCACCAAGATCTCCCGACTTATCCCCAATTGAGCACGTGTGGGATATGATGGGTAGGAGATTGCTCAATTTGCAACGTCCTCCTCAGACTCTAGAAGCACTTCGAGAGGAGTGGGTGGTTGCCTGGAATGAGATACCACAGGACATTGACCACCTGATCAGAAGCATGCCTAGGCGCGTTGGAGAATGCGTAGCACATCAGGGTGCATCCACACATTATTAAAGGTCAAAGGGCTTTAAAGCAGTGCAATCATTTTTAAATTTTTATCATTTACTTATTATGCTTTATTAAGTACTTATACAAAATTTTATTAAAATAAAACCATTTAAACTGGGTGTTCAGATTTATATGTCACTTAGTATATTTTGCTGCTTGATGAGGTGCTTTCCAGTGCCTCGTTTGTGTTACTCGGAGTAACTCGGAGCTACCCACCAAATGTCAATACCGTTTCAGTGCTCTAGTGTCATGCACCTGAGCTACTTAATTTTAAATCCCCTGCCCCACCATGCACCAGCTTTTTATTCGGTGTTATACGCTCCGAAATAGTGGGGATAACGAAAATGACAATGAGTCAAGATTGTTAGATTATGTATCTTCATCGTTTTTGTTTTTTTTTGCATTAAACTCACATTAAACGGATACCAGACAATGGAGGATGGTAAACGATTGATAATGTTATGACCCAGAGTCACAACGTACATTGAGATTTTCCTCAATAATAAAGATCACAAGAAAGTGCAAGAATGCATGTTCATCTGAAGTTATATTGTTGCTGCTTAAATGCCTTGAACTCCGATTGCAAGTAAATTCAATGAACTGCCTTACAACTGCAGTGATAGTTACAAACAGAAGATCAAAGTAAAAAGATGAGATGTGCATATCCTTTTGGTGATGTATGATTTCTCGCGATTTATCTCTATCAGCGGCAGTTTTTTTAATTCTTCAGTATGCAGAAAAGCTTCTTCCAGAATTTTATAATTTCAGTAAATTCAAAACATACCTGAAATATACTGCGTTTATTTTCTTTCTTCTTAGATTTCTTGTCTTGCATGGGAAAAAACAGAGATGACAAATAAAAAGTCAAAGAAAAGGTTAATTTATGTTTATTTGAAGTTTATATACAGAGTGTGAAAAAATATAGAATAACCAAAATAACAAAACTTAAATAATAAAGGAAGAATATCTTCTAGGATACAAAACATGTTCAACATTTTTACAATCCATACTTGACAAATGACTCAAAGTACAATAAAAAATCAGATCACTGTTGATCGGACACGGTACTAATTTTTATAACTTGAAGTGAAACATGTTTCAAAATTTTGATTCAAAAACTGACAGACACATCCAGAAAGAAATTGATATTGTGCATTTCAGTCTTAATTTGGTTTCACTGCGTCAAAATGTAAATAAGTTAGTATTCGCCCACAGTTTAACAGAACTTTTCATTTTCTTTTGGTATGTGCATCTGAAATAAAAAGAAAAAATATATGCATATTGGATCGTTAACTTGGATGTCTAATAATACTGTTTTTGTACGTCCAACTATGTAAGGCGCCGTTTTATGCTTATTAGTCATCGTCAGCATGGTTCAGGTGAGTCCGGGAAAGCAGCGCAAAATAACCTGTATATGAGATCCAAGGCTGACCAGCAAGTGACATATTTGTTTTAAGTCTGTGGTGTTGTCAATAATACAATAATCGGAAGCGAATCGGCACGGGTATCACGTATCTTAAAAGTGACATTATGCCGATTTTTTTTTGACATTATGCTGGTTTTCTTGACATTAGTTGTACACATAATCATCCTGATGCGATCTTGCTATTCAACCAACTTTCTTCTCAGAGATAAAAACTACAGACAAGGACCATTTGAACGTAGATTCGTCTGTCACCAATATGCACTTCAAAAAGTCCGGATTATTGTCATGTTGATGCTACAACCACTCACAAAACCGCACTCTTGCAGGAAAATCGTCAGGTTGAAGGGCTTGTACACGTTGGACGTGAAACGGATACAGCCCCTCTTCACGCAGCGTTTGCCACACTTTAGTTTTTGATACTTGCACTTCTCTAGCCACGTCTCTAGTGCTTGTTGTTTTTTGAAACGCAATCGATTATACGAGTTCGTTTACCTCTACACGCGTGACCGTAACCGTCGGTTGAAGGTTGCAGACTGACCTGACACACTGACCCCGACCCCCGACCCAGTTCTGTCGTCGGGTTGAGCTATTGTCCTAGTACCAGTTGGGGATGTCGCGAGTCGCGGCTACAGGACGGTATTCAGATATTTTTGATGTTGCTTATCTTTTCAAGATCTACACGTCGTGTAAAGGAAAACCCCAACTTTGCGGACACCCTGTATACCAAAAGATTTAGATTAGATTCAAGCGGCCGAATCTTAGACGAAGTGTTCTTATGATGGATTTGTCATTGCTAGAATTTCCCCAGAACAATCCCCCAGTATTGCTACTTTAAAAAAAATCTCAGTTCATTAATGCCTGAAACGTGTAAATTACCCCAGAACATTACATCCCCAAGTACAAATCCCCCAAATTTGGCGAAATATCTCCCAACATAGCAACCCTGTCAAAGCACCACTGGTAGGCACTACTCCATTCGTTTCGGGGTTATTTTTACAGCACGAACACCATTGCCTAGTTTCTCCTGGTAAAGGGTGTTACAATAAGAGCGCCGGATTTGATCTAAGATAAACACAATTTCTTTTCGAATTAAGCGAGTGGAAGAGAAGAGGAATAGCTGCGATTAAACATGAAATAGAACATCCGCTAAATGACCACCACGAAACCTCTGGCAGAGGGTCAAGTCTTTTCTTAAAATTCTGGATAACGTTTTCGTCGATAACGCGCCGTATCTCTTCTTTAAGGCGTTCAACTGTTTGTGGCTTGTTCGCATACACATTTTCCTTAACATAGCCCCAGAGGAAGAAGTCCATTGGCGTTATATCGCACGATCTTGGTGGCCAAACCGAGAGATGACACGATTCACATAATGGATACTCATGATAAAGACTCTAGTTGACAAATAGTACGTCGAACCTTCGTAAACGCTCGAAGATAACGTGATAAAAGCTTTGCTCTGACTAAAGCAAAAATGAAACGCACAAAAAGGATCTTACCTGATTTAGTAGATGAAATGGAACTAGTTCTGCTTCTAATAGTCTTTCTAGTGGAACTTGGAATAGTAGTGTCGTCTTTCTTCCTAGTTCTTTTAGGCGGTGACGGAGACCCCGATTGTATAGAAGCCACAGAATTTGAGTCGGAGTATTTCCTTGATCTTGTTTTGACACCTGAAATGGAGAAATCGTTCTATTCTTAGGAGAAACTGAGTCCGTAGGTTAGAAAAGACGCCAACTCGCCAACAGTGGGGACAAACTGTTTCAAATGATCTAGATATGAAGTACTGTCATAGAATTGGTAACCCAGAAGCCGACACCTCATCTTTTACGTTTCACCAAATGCTTGAGAACCTTTCTTTCCAACAAGATAATCGCTGTTTCCATATTGATGGGGCTGCAGCAGATTACCTCAATAACGCTCAGATCACCCTACTTCTTTGGCCTTCTAGATCTCCAGACGATTGGCAAATTAAACATGCGTGGGGTATGTCGGGAACAAGAGCGACCTCTTTACCTCATGCTCCACAAAATACTCTACTGGCCCTATACTTTGGTACCATCGTACCTTGCAATTCTTCCTACCCGGTCGTGGTATGATTCCAAAACAAAAAAAAAATGTTTACCTTCTGTAGGCTGTACAGGACTTTTAGGTTGCGATTTTGACCTTCCTTGTTTCTTTGGGGTTAAAACCTGAGCAACCGATGTATCTGAAGCAGCTGATGCCGATCTTGTTATTCTTTTACCTGGCCTCACGGAACTTACGGTACTAGCTGTGGAAGACGAGCCTTGGTACACTTTCGATTCTTCTGAATCGGCTTTTCCTAAGAACAACACAATGGGTTTACTATGAAACTACATGGAGAAAGGGAAATATCAAACTCATCCTAAGAAATTTGTAACTTATTTTTCAGTTATCCTTATTAAGGAGTCTATGATTTTGAGGTTTATTCATATTTTTTGCACGTTTACTTTTGAGTTACCTTGGGGACATACCTTGGAATGGCTCTTTGTCAAGAAGATCGATGGGATCAAAAGGTTCTCCTTCTAGTTTTTCCATTTCTTCTCTCTCCGGTATGCTAGAATTTCTCATCATATTCGCCTGTTTTCGGGTCAATCTTCGTGTTGAAGTGTAGCGATCCATCGTCGTTTTCTTCCCCAACTGAAAGACACCCTTTTATATGGAAAGAAATTCATCATAAGCAATTGAATTGTTTTGCGAAAATGTTGCACAATTTAGTCGCGGTGTTCTGACTATAGGCAATAAAACATACTTTTGCGCGGTTGTAGAAAAGATTTGAGCGTAGCCCACTTTTGAGTTTCTCAACATAAATTTAAAAACATGTTGCTCTTACCTCAACATCTTCAGCGATAACAGGCAGCTCGTCAACCGACATAGTCCTTCTCTTTCCTCTTCTACCCCCTCCAGTACTTGTTGACTCATCCACCGACGATATTCTCCTCCTTCCTTTCTTCGTACTTTCACCTTCATCAACTGGCATTGCCCTGTTTTCTTCTTTCTTCTCACTCACACTGCCTTCCGTCTCCACACTACTGCTTCTCAAATTCCTCCTAGATCCCACAGGCTCTTCAGCCAGACTGACACTTCTGGTCTTCCTAGATGATCTCTTCCCTTCAGACTGCTTTGAGGTTGATGGTTGTTCTTTTGGGTCCACCTCTTGTTGAGCCAATGAAGTGCTGTTCGTCCTAGTCACCCGTTTCAGTAGCGGTTCCTCAGTCCTCTTTTTGGAACGAGGAGAGTGGACCTCAGCAGTCACTACCACTTCCTTTACAGCATCGCTATCTGTTGTATCTGAAGAGGACGTGTGCTCTTCAAATCTTTTCAATTTCCGAGCTTTGGATGGCGTTGCAACTCTTTCATCTGAAGTACTCATACCAACATCTGTGTCACTTTCCTTATTATCACTCTTTGACCCTTCCTCTTCCGTCTCTTCAGCAGATCGGGATTTCGTAGTTGGCCTTTCAGATGCAGTGACGTCTTTAGAAGCTGAAACCTTTGTAGATTGATATTCTACATTTGCTGGTATCTCTGTTGCACCAGTGGATTTAGTCACTCACCTTGTGTTTCATCTGAAGCAAGGTTCGTATCTTGTTTAAGCTGAGATTCAGTAACTGCTTTTGATTTAGCTTCATTATTCTTGGATAAACTCGAATGAACCTGCGAAGTGTCCATTTTTACAATATTCATAGTTTCTTCAGGCTCCTCATGGAACTCCATGTCATCTACACGTTTATTAGCATTTTCAGAAGAATCGCTACCCTTGAACGATACGAGCTACTTCTAGAGCTGGCACTATCGCTGATGGAGATTACATCATCGACTGCTTTTCTAGTTCTCTCAGTAACAAATCGTCTTCACGTTCTGACCGCGATTGAAAAATGCAATCTTCTAATTCATCAAACTGAGTCCTTGATTCATCGAAATCGCCCTCTATATTATCTGAATCGCTGGATAGGTCCTGATACACCTTAGACTCTTTCACATCTATGAAGGCACGATTTAGAGACTCCTCTTCAGGTTGGCTTTTGGCAATCTCAGAACTTCTCACAGATACTTCTAAAGGATCAATTTGAGCAGTATTGCCTATATTCGTTTCGAACACAACCTCTAATCTGTCACAACTGTCTTCAGAACCTGACAAGTCCGCGTAGACCTCCGATTTCAAGAAACCTTTATCTAGATCTGATACTGTATAACAGGTGTTTTCATACACAGGTTTCAACTCAGTTAATACAGTATCGGCAATCACAGCTGGTTCTACTACTTCTACACTTTGAACTGGTTTCTCTTCTCCATCTCCAGATTCTTCTGCAGTATGTTCTTTGATTGTTTCTATTTCGGTCTAGATTCTTTAGCTTTCTTCTCTCTATGATATAGTTCACTGCTTCTGTGGCTACAATGGAGAGAAATCCTGGAGTGTCTTCATCCACTTCCATTGGACTATGTTCTTCAACTACTTTGGGAATACTAAATTCTAATTCTGCAAAAGCTTGGTTGGTTTACTTTGTGCTGCAACATCAGAGCTTTCTTTTTCACTTAACTGGGTACTTTCTTCAATTTCGTCTTGTCCACTTTCCTCTGGGTTATCATCATCAACGGCAGAGCTTAGCATCACATCAACAGGTTTGATTTCTTCAGTATCAACTTTATCTTCAACTTCTGACTCATTATCACCACTTTTTTTTCTTGCTTCTAGGTAATTGTTATCAACGGTAGAACTTGGCACTTCACCAGCAGGTTTGCTTTCTTCAGTAGAAAATTCAAGTTGAATTGAATCTGATTCAACTTCTGACTGATTATCACCACTGTTTTTGTTTGCTTCCAGGTAATTCTTATCAACGGTAGAGCTTCCCGTTACATCAGTAGGTTCGTTTTCTTCAGTATCAACTTCATCTTTAACTTCTGACTCATCATCACTACAGTTTTTACCAACTTTTCTACCCTTAATCCACTCGTCAGCCAACTGAGACAAAAATGAATCATCACCCTCAGAATTTTTCTCAGCGTGTTCTATTCGTTCTTCTTTGCGCACCGAGTCTGTCAACCTGAGACTTCTTTGATTTTCTGAGATTTTTTCAGATACCTGGGACTCGATTTCTAGAGATATAACTTTGGTAGAATCTGCAGATGTTTCTGTGATCACCGTCGAATCTTTTTTGGTAACTATGACCTCCTTAGAAACGAATTTGGAAGACTGTAGCGCAGAAAAAGCGTTATGCTCCAAGACTTGTCGACTCAGAGGTTTCCTTCTGTTGACCTGAAGCAATCTTGGCGATTGTTTGGGTGATTCAGAAACAGACGTAGAAGGAGATTCCGAAGATGATGTTTCGCTTGATATGCGTATTGCTGGAGATGCGCCCACAGATGATATTCTGATAGATTTATCCACCGAAGACGCCCTTGTCCTCCTAGGTTCAATTGAAGGTGACTCCGTTCGACATTTTTCTACAGAAGACGCCCTGGTTCTCCTAGGTTCCAGAGCAGCGGATTCATCATAAGACCTCTTGTAACTCCTCCTAGCTTTAGGTGACTGAGGTAGAGTTTTGGTTTCATCATCAGCTGCATCATCTTTCATTGAAACATCTTCAGATCTCTCCACTGAAGAAGCTCTCGTCCTTCTAGGTGATTCAATGAGGGATTTGTCTACTGAAGACGCTCTGGTTCTTCTAGGTGATTCAATGAGGGATTTGTCTACAGAAGACGTTCTGGTTCTTCTAGGTGATTCAGTGAGCGACTTGTCTACAGAAGAAGCTCTAGTTCTTCTCGTTTCAAGTAATGATGACTCATCATGCAACGTCTTATAACTTCGCCTTGCTCTGGGTGACTGTGGCATAGTTTTTGTCTCATGGAGATCTATGTCTACATCATGTTTAAGCTCATCTTGTCTAGGCACCTGCATTTCAGCATGTTCTACTACATTTTGTTTCAGGCTCTTTAATAACAGAAGAACTACCTTTCCTGGCACCTTCATCCAAAGAAGAACTTGGAGAATAAAAACTATCAGTTCCACTAGATTCTTTAGATGAAACCATCATGCTAGCGTCTACGGAAGATAGCGAAGATAGCCTCTTCTGTTCTGCTTCTCTTGTATTAATCTGTCTTCTATACAGATAGATGATTCATTACCGGTACTGTCTGCTACAGGTATTCTCAAACTAGAATCATCGCTCAGTGAAGTGGAAAATCTAGTTGTTTCATCAAACTGAATTTTCTTTGGCGTATTCTGTGTTGGCATTCTGCAACTTAAGGATATTATCCTAGAATCATTTCTAATTGCGACGTCATCATAGGTCTGAGATAAAGGATCATCCTGACTCTTTACTTTAAGGATACTATGAGGCTTAGCGTTTAAACGAGATTCTTGATCTGTACAGGTGTTTCTCTTGACAATAGGAGTTAACATCTTCGAATGCATGCTCTGATTCGCCAGAGGACTAACAGTACTTCCTCTTGGTGAAAGCCTCAACCTCTTAGCAGGTGTTGGGCACTCCTCTTCATAATCGATAACATGAGGTGTAACTATAGTTGTAGCAAGTCTGGATTTTTTCTAAGCGCGACGGGAGTTCTCAAAAATGGAGTTCCCTCGGTAGATAGATTGAGTTTGTTGTCCAAAAACGTACTTTTAGCTTTTGATATCGCTGCATGGATCACTGTTGACTTATATTGGACTTGCTCGTTGTTATCATGGACCAAATACTGATAAAGGTGTTGGTCTGGTTAGTTTCGTCCATACAGAAGCTCTTTCTTTGCGAACGTATTCCACGAGATTCTTGCTAACGTCTGGTAGGTATTTTTTGAAGATTTTCACTACATGGTCACTTACTGACGCATTTTTCTGGCCAGACAAACCTAGCGAATCTGGATTTCTCTTCTTGATGTTCGTATGTACGTCAAATGCTTCTATAAATCTTGCTCTCAATAGATAATAGAACACTTGCAAATCTTCAAAATTCGGATTGTTAATCGATTTCAGGTAATCGAAAAATGCTTTTTCTTCTTTTGTATCCAAGCGTCTATACAACAGGTTCTGCAGAGATCCACTTTTGTACATTCTCGGAAAAGATGTTGAAGTAGAATCTGTATATTCGCACTATTATGTTGATTCTTGAAATAGAATGCTTCATCCAACATATTGTTAGCAACAAAAAGACTGATGGCTGTCAATATATCCTTCTCACTGTTAATAGGCGGCTTCCTAACTTGCATGTAGAACAATGCTAGGTTGTTCTGTTCTTGCAACAGTAGCGCTCTCATAGCAACATTATGTTGCCAAGGTTGGAGATCATTGTTAGAAATCTGTGGGTCCAGCATCAGTTCCATCGCAGAGGCAAAATCGCCGTGATCCAACTGCCAAAACGCCTGAGTGATTTTTATCAAGCTTGGTGGTACTTTAAAGACAGCAGGAAACTTTATCAGATGCGTTTATAACACCAGAGTACCTGTCTGGTCCAATGTCATGGCTAAGTCTAAAAATACGTAAATGACCAATGTGTGTTTATAGAGCAAATTCGCTTCTGGAACCAAGTAGCTCCTCAATAACGATTGTAGAGAGGCGGAGGATAAAGCCCGCTACCTCTGTCATCTTGCCATTGCTTTTGAAGCTGTTCAGCGCCACATTTTATAGCGATGAGATTATCTATGAAGAGCAGTTGGTCAGAGCTCGCAAACGTGTCCTTACTCAACAGTCTTAACTGTGCCCTTCTTTCATTGTAATACTTGGTTAGCTCAACTACAGGGTACGGGGCATTGACTTTTTCCGAGTTGTCTTTTGGATATACAGACTGGTGACATTCTGGTAATAATCCTACGTTTACCATCCACACCAGAACTTCAAAATAGATGGAAACCATGTCCAAACTGCGGCTTGTTCTTCAACGACACGAGGTAGTGCCGGGTAGTTATGCAATTTTCCAAGAACGAAAGCGTTAAAATGTACATAAATTGTTGATCTGCCTGGTACAACTGTTCAACAGAATGCTAGTATTGCTATCCAAAGGCAGTTGTGAATAATCGAAAAGACTTTTGCAGTACCTGTCGCAGGTGGTTTTTAAGGGTGACTGCTCTGTGAAATGCCCAGTTTAGTAAGAAATCCAAAGAACAACCTGCCGAAGAAAAACTACCATTTGCCCATTCTGACGCGCATTTGCACAACCATCCTGTCAAATGATGTTCCAGTCCTACATTCAATATGATTTCTCTCTGGGACTCAATAGTTGTAGACGTGTTGACTTGCAGGTCAACAAATAGTGGCGTCAGTCCCAGATTTATAACCTGTTGATAAACATCATTTGTTCTAACAAGACATAAGGGTCCTGCTGATTCTATTTGAGACAGCAATGCCTTTTGTAAGCTGTCACTATGAACAACAATAATGTCATTTTCTCGCACAACATAGACATCGAAAGATAGTGCTGTTGGGTAGAAATGCTCTTCAAGTTTTTGTACCCCTAAAAACTGGTTCAATGATTTAGTGATGACTCTGCAATCTAATATGAGTGACGATTTGTGGCCAGACATCAAAATCTGCTCCGTAAGACTAGTTTTCAAAATGTAGGTGGAACTTTCTTTCCAGCTCGAAAAAGTAGGCATTTGCTCTTTATACCATTGATTCAAATCAAACACTAACATATTTGTTTGGTTTCACCTCTATCAAACATACTGTCCAGGATATTTGTGTCAGCGCCAGCACATCACTCGTTGATTTGTTGCAGAGTCTTTATTATTTGGTTGTTTATAAACAGCTGGAAGTTCAAAATACATCCACCTTTTGTTTTGTTGGGTACTGTGAAGCACACCCAATTCTATTTGGAACCGAACAGTACAAAACTGAAAATCTTGATACAGATATCCATACCCTTCATGGTGTTCTTTCGAACCATAGCAAAAAGAATACATTACAGCAAATGGAAATCCTCCTTGGTATAGCTCTGTGTTGCTGTACGCAACCCACACATAGCAAAAAGCTCTTGGATCATCTGTAGGTTCTAGAAAAGCAAACTGAGTGATTGGTAGATGATCTCACACACTGGAGATGTATATATTAAGGATAACGTGTTAAATCCCCAAAGTTGAAATGCTCCAAAGTTGAATCCAACTAGAAGTGAAGTTAGTTGTGAACAGTAGTATAGTTTACTTACAGATACCTCTTCTTTATTCACAAACAATTTATTTTCATTCTGGGGACCTTTCAGAGTAAAATGTTCTGTTTTACTATCCAACACAATATCAATGTATAGCTAGGTGATTGCCTTCTTTTATACACTGTTCTTTATACCTCTCTACTTTATCAACTTTATGTGGAGGAATGATTACAATTTGACATGGAGAAATTTCATCCCTAACTTGCTCTTGATCCATACAAATCTGCGGCAGATGTCTATGAGTAAAATATCACCACCTAACGTTCCTACAGCTAAAATTCCATCAAAACATCGAAGAGATCCTGGTAAATTCAACACCTCTAAAGCTGAATCCACAACATTCATATTACTAATTCTTTCTTTGACATGAATGGCCTCTAATGACTCTAGAACTGCCAGCATCAAAATACATATTGAGCCTCCACTAATAGAACAATCGAGTCCAACTGCAAGCAAGGGTAAATGCCCATTTGATGTATCAACCTCTTCGACACAAACAATTTTGGTATTAGAGTCTCTGAGGACACATCCAAATGTCCAAGCGCCTATTTTGAATCCTGATTTACCGTTTCTCACTTCTAAGCATGATCTTAGCATGCCAGATGTATTTTCCTTCAGATAATATGCCCCCCAGTACTGGCCATGCTGTAAAAATCATTTCATAAATTTCTCATCATAACAATCAGATTAAAGTGTTTCATTGGCGTTGAGGCAAACAGAAAAAATACTTGGTGGAATACTTTAGGAACCAGCTTCATAAAACAATGACAGTAGTTTAACTAAATGAGTTTGTTAAAGACGTCACTTACCGATTGTACAACTTCATTGGAATCATTTTGAGGGATAAACTGCAGGGTATTTTGAGGAGAAACGGGGTATCTTCGAAATGGTGAACGACATTTTTGTTGTTATAAAAAACGCAAACTCACCGCATATGCATTATAAACGTTTGAAAATGAGCCGTTATAAACTGCGAATTTCAAAAGATAAGATCGGAATTTACTTGTTTCAAATTCCACACCAAAAAACCGACACTAATTAACAAGATAACCTAGAATTTGATCCTTGACGTTTTCGGCCGTTTTTGACATGCTTGATGTTTATACTTTTGACCACCTTTTGACATCTTAAAATCGCATCATCTAGTGTTGAAATTTGAAACCTACATTACGACAACATACACGGTGGCGCATCGAAAACGAAACAGACGCATTTAATTGGCAGCTCAGTTTTTTTTTGAAAAACGTTCACACTCGTCGATTTTGTTTTCGAGGGGGACACAAGTTTGGCAAAAAATCACGTAGCACGTGCAGCCCCCTAAGCGGGGGTGACACCACCCCCAAAATCTTAAATGGAAAGGGGGTCGAGTGATACCTTATTTTAAAGGTCTTTCAATTCCCTTTATGATGATATGAAATTAGTACACTTCAGTTCAGTAGTTTTGAGATTTATTGATTTAAAGCTTAAATAAAACTAATACATCATCGTTAGTGGAGATCAATACATTTGGCAGCAAAGTAATTTAAAAATGAAGAATGAACGTTAGGCAATTATATTATTTAATAATTGTTGAAAATGGCCACCATGACTCTCATGCAATAATAAAGATTTTGGTCAAAACGTTACCGCACATTTTGCAATATTTGAGGAGTAATTTGAAGGCACTCATTCACAATTCTTTGTCGCAGGTCTTCTAATGATGTTGGCTGAGTAGCATAGATTTTGCCCTTTAAATGACCCCTCATAAAGAAATCCAAAGGTGATAAAACTGGCGATCTTGGGGGCCATTCATGGCACCTCTTCTACCAATCCATCGATCTGGAAACGTCTGATCTAAATAATGCCGAACACGTAATGCGTAATGTGGTGGGGCACCATCCTGTTGGAACATCATCCTATTCGCGATGTACCGCCGATCATTCTGATTTTAATTATGGTTGTTAATGTAGGATCTATGGCGTCTTCCATTAATTCCAAATACATTTCACCGGTCAAATCTCCAGGTAAGAAAAAAGGACCAACTAAATGATCGCCAAAAATACCAGCCCAAACATTTAATTTTTGTGGCTGCTGTGTATGAACCGCATGATAAATTCTGAGATTAGAATCGGACCAATATCGGCAGTTATGACGATTTACTACGCCATTTAAGAAAAAGGAACATTCGTCGGAAAAGCAAGTGTTGAATAGAAAATGATCATTTATAATTCGTTCGATCATATCTTCACAAAATTGTAATCGCCGATCAAGATCGTCTTCATTAAGTTCTTGTACCAGGTGAATTTTATACGGATGAAAACTATGGGCCTTTAGAATGCGTTGGACAGTACGTCGACTAACACCACGAACAGTCTCCAATTTGTGGGTACTTAACGTAGGATCTACATAAACTTGCCCTAAAACCACCACTTCTATTGCTTCGTTCCTTATGGGATTTTCAATGTTGCGTTTTTTATTGGCGACTGACCCATTTTCCCGAAATTTAGCTTCCAGTTCTAGAACATTTTCGATGCACGTTACTGTTCTCATGTCGCTCATTAATATTTCTGCTGTTCTATTAGCGCACTGATTATTTCCGAAAAATATTTCGATAAGTTCAACTTTTATAATGTAGAATATACCATGGTTAATTTAGTAATAAAGCGTTACAAGTTATTTTAGCAACAAAGTTTGGTCAAATCAATCGCAAACTATGTACATTCCTATTTAAAATAAGTACGAGTATTTCCTTATCTTTCTTCAAGAAATAACTTTTTTGCCAAAAAAAACGCTCCAATAGCTATTTTAACAACAAAATGTTAAACAAAGCATGTGCGTAGTGAAGAAAAGCCTTTACTTATTAAGTAAATTCTTTAGTCAAATTTCTTCTGAAAGTAGTACAAACTAATCTGATGTACCTATTAAGTCTACTTTAAGCTTTAAATCAATAAATCTTCAAAACTATCGAACTGAAGCTCATGTTTTACATCATTATAAAAGGAATTGAAAGACCTTTAAAATAAGGTATCACCCGACCCCCTTTTCCATTAAGATTTTAGAGTTGGTGTCACCCCCTGCACGTGTTAACGTGATTTTTTGCCAAACTTGTGTCCCCCCTCGAAAACAAAATCGACGGGTCGCGTTTTTCCAAAAAAAACTGAGCTGCCAGTAAATACGTCCGTTTCGTTTTCGATACGTCACCGTGTATATTTATGCGATAGCTACAAATTCCACTAGATGGCGCGGTGGAAAAATGTTCGTTACCTGGATTAAACATTCCAGTTCTATATAAATGACCACCCTGTCAGCTCACAGCCACATAACTCATATATGAGTAAAGCCACGCCCGATTTACTTCTCGCCCATAATCGGAGATCAAAATAATAAAGTAAAATTCCCCAAACCCCCAACTTAGTGACTTATCTGTCATCAACAAAAATGTCCATTTTCCGTCAATAATTTACCTAGTTTTCCAGTTTTCATCAGATTCGAACTGTGTTTTGGGCATAAATAAAACATGGTATGTAAAACCATCCCTAACTTATAGGACCTGCTAGTTCAAAAGATACCCTATCGGCTTGTCCACATATTTTTTATACAACAATCCCACAAAAGATTAGAAAAATAAAAAACATTCCTTTTTTACAAAATGTACAGAAATGCTGCATTATTTAGTCTTAATTTTTCCGTAGCAAATATTACGGCACATCGATGTTGAAGAATGGGACAATTGATGTTATACCTTCATGTACTTATCGGATATCGCCGATGTTTATCCCAAATCAATAAAACGAGCATCTGTCACGATACAGTATACTACTGGATTGTTACCAATTCTTTAAAGATAGTTTAATTACGTTAATATTTAAGAAATATCTTATAACTGCATGTTTTGCATGTCGTTTGAACTGTAGGATCTAGGGCCCACATATTTTTTTGACTTTGCTTCAATTTTTTATATAACATATAACGATATTTTAGTTTACTTTTATTATATTATTGCATTTGAAGCCAGTGCCGTCGCGATCTGGTAGTGTTGTGCTTAGCACATGGGCGGGTCTCCCAAGCGGTAAAAACATGAAAACATGCAGTAAGACACCAAAGTCCTGGAATGGCACTGTATTTCCTCGGATAAGGTATTTTTGGAAAAGATCAAGGTCACGACTTCAGTGAATTAGAGCTAGCCTTGAATTTGACGTTCACTTTCAAGGTTAATTCTTAGCCAATTTTATTTTTTCAAATAGAAACTCCTATTTTTGAAAGAACAGAAAATTCTGTGTTCAAACACAATTAAAGTCCAAGGTCAAGAATTACGGGAAATCATCACCGCGCCCGCGTTGTGTGTAATTACTGTTAGCATGTATATGGCATGTAATTCGACAGTGTACAGTGAATATAATTATTTCTTATCTCTCTCATTTTTGAACTTCAGCAATTTGTATATGTAATTTCCAGAATGGATAAGAAAAAGTGGATGTGTAACTAATTTCTAGCTTTGAATCTCAATTAAGTGTATTGGGACAAGAACCCAATGTAATTATCATCAATACATACAACTTACAGCTTAGACCTCCAGTAATCCCATCTCAGATGCGGATTTTACATCACATCAGAGCTAAAGATTCATAACAAGCCTCATGACCTTTAGGCAACTACAACTAAGTGCTAAGTCAACGTCTTGGCGAAAAACCTACATAATGTCAAAAAAAACAGCATAATGTCACTTTTCAAGATACTTGATACCCGTGCGGGTCTTAGGTAAATTTCAACAAGGAAGTGAACGCAGACCTTGGATTGGAACTTGACCTTCACCTTCAAGGTTATTTCAAGGTCAACGTAATATTTTTATTGGAAAACCCCTATTTTCGATGCCCGCAATCGAAAGAGCGGGAATTTTTATATGCATTAAATTTCAAGATCAAGATCACCGCTGGAGGCCAAATAGGTTAAATAAAGGTCAAATATGTGATCTCGCAGATATGACGAAATAATTGGTAAGGCCTTTACTAAATTTTCACAAGTAGCGGTAGCCTTGGATTTGACCTTGAATCACACCTTCAAGGTTGTTTCAAGATCAACTTTATTTTTCCAAATAGAAACACTTATTGCTGACGACAGTCCAGAGAGCCGAAAATCGGATGTTCAAATGTGTATTAGAATTTAAGGTGAATGTGACCACTAGAAGTCACATAAAGGCCAAATGTGTGCTGGTAGGAAAACTTCTAGAAAACTCACACGAGTAGTGACGAAAATAACGGGCATCTTAGGGTACTTTCAAGTCATCCTAACCTTGGTCTTCGATTGTTTTTGAACGTAAAATTTTCTGTTCTTCCGATTGCCGGCATCAAAAATATTTGAAAACATTAAGTTGACCGTAAATTTACCTCGAAGGTGAAGGTCAAGGTCAATTTCAGGCTCACCGCTGAATTCCTTGATGGAAGTTACTGACGCCTGGCCTTTCCCAAAAATATCCCGAGAAAATACAGAGCCGTACCGGGACTTAACGAAATTTATGATCAAAATCAAATGGAAAATATGTAGTGAAAATTCCCAGTCGCATTGACGTCGTAGTGCCTGTTATTTGTTAAAATGATCCTTGGTTTGTACTATGTTTAATGAGTGATTGTTATTCTTCAGTTTCTGTTCTGTTTATATAAAATAATAGAGGAAATCAAGACTCATAACTAAAATAACCCACCACTGATAACGATGCTACAGGTTGCACACTGATAAATTTACAGTATAATATGCTTGAATCACAAGCTTAAATTATGGAAACAAAAATAATACAACTTAATGGCAAATGTCACATGATCAGTAATTACTGTTGTCCGTACTATTAGTGGGTAATTATTATTTAATCAGTGTCATTGGATTTCTAATTGACCTTGTACGTCAATAGTTACTGAGGTACTAGCTACACAGTCAATAAAAATCACAGTCCATGATAAATGTAAATACTGATTGTGTGATATTTACCTATGATAAAAGATGATAAAAACAATAAAATGAAAAAACAATAAGAAAATAAATAACCTATTCAAAATATTCATTAAGTTAAAAGTAGAAAAAAAAAGAACAAAAGACAAAGAAAATATGATTCTGCAAATTAGCAAATTAAGAAAGAAAATATGAAAAAACAAATAAAAGACTTAACGATTTTAAGAAATAGAGCAGATTTTAAAAAAAATCTTGTTATACATTTAATTTAGAGTAGATTACATGTGCCATAAACATAAAAAATGTATACACGTTTAGATATTCTAAATTTCTAAGAATTTGTATTGTATAGTATTAATCACACGTATAGTTTTAAGTCTGCTGCTATTGAGAATTAAGTTATTTGAGGAAAATGTTTTGTAAGGACTAAAATAAAAAATTGAATATCCCATTCACCCTTCCCGTTTCCTTAGGAGTCTTATGCATGTGAGCTCTTCCTGCTTTAAATTCTCTTCATACTCTTTTTCTTCCTTAGTCGTTTGTTCAGCTCCATCTAATGCATGCAAACTCCATGACTTTTTGCAGAACTTTGCAAAAAAAAAACTGCTTTATTTTTTCTTAGCATCACCATGGCCAGTCACCACTTCATCCCGGTTTAGGTGGTGTTTCATTCGGTGTCGCGAAATGTCGCTGCCAGTGTCTCAATACGAGGCGCTGTTGGCTGAGGTACGCGGCTTAAGGCGCAAGGCTCAGCGGGTGCAACAACTTGCCAGGCCTCTGGTCGAGGGGGATTCACAAGTTGAAGGTGCCGCATCATCTTCAACAACTGCAAGCTGTAGACATCATCAGGTAGGTGCCGTTTATATTTGTTCATATGGAAATTCGGTAGATTCGATGACAAAATCGGTACGAGGAAAATTTCATCGATGGATCAAAAGTACATTTTTGTACACAAAAAAAGCCATTATAGGGAAAGCCGAATATATTTATTGTAGGCAACCAAAATCTACGTCCCTCGTATGTGTGACTTCCCAAGTATACGCTTAATAAGTATGACTGGTATAGGGTATAAAACTACATAGACTACATATAATTCCTTTTTTTTTTTTAGCTTTAATTTTGATTCAAGCTCTGTTTCGGTAGAAAACTTGGAAGTATCCAAATTATTTTAAAAGATCGTTTTCGGTATTTCGGTGAAATAGGTCTCATTTCGGTAGAAATACCGAAAAATCGGTAGGCTCGGCAACACTGGGGCCGAATGCATAGTGTACATGCTGGTGCATAATTATGTCGTGGTCATATCGTAGAAATGACCATTTCATGAAATGGCCAACTAATTTTGACCATATCGTTATATTGTCAACGTTTAACCACAGCCGACGTCAACTACGAGCCGTGATGAAAGAAAGGCAACACCGCGCTCGGACGGCATGGTAGTGCTACCTGTGAACGTCGGCCGCCAGCGGCTGTGTGCTCCGTCTCCGTGTAACGTTCAAGAACTAAATTTAATTTTGGAAAAGAGGACAGTTCGATTCGATACAAATCGTCTGAATATGAAATAGCTCTAAAAAATTTAAAAATACGAAATAATCGTGATATATATGAGTCGCTAATGCAGTTAACCTAATTAAAAGTATTTAGTTTACGTTTTTTGGTGTCAGCACACTGTGTTCCAACAGGCCCAGCTTGGAAATGTGGAGTTACCTGTTTGTTTTTAATACATTTACTTTCAGTTTTACTGTTTTTTTCAATTTTACATAATCATTCAAAATTATGTTTGAAAAAATAGACAAAAGCTTAGATAAAATATCTGCATAATTGCGGCCACAGATGCAAGTTAAAGAAAATTCACTGTATATAAAGTCAGACTGAATGCTGAGCAAGGTTAACTGACACAAAATAAATTTTTGATTATTGCTTTTCAAGAAGAAAATTTCCAATCTATCTACATTAATAATAGATTCAAAAATGGCATACATATGGTAGAATATGATTGGTACATAACTGGTTGGAATTGACAGTCCTCCTCTTTGCAAATGATCAAAATAAACATTTGTTGTTAATGAACCTTTTTCTTTAACTATTAGCGATTTGCATATCTCGCAGTTTAGGTTTTTAGAGATAGCGTGTGAAGCATATCCAGATATATAAGTCTTAGTACTATCCTCTATGTCACAATTGGCTAAGTAATTTGTCTCAAATACTTCATTGAATATATCCAAAACTTTTGTTTGGTATCCAAGAAATCAAAATTTTCTTGAGTTTCTAAGCAGTTTTGGAACCTTGTTTTAATTTCTGCTAAAGAAAATGACGATTTCTTTTCATTGAAAATATGCTTCAGCCGTATTTTCTTTTCAGCATTTAAAATTTCATCATATGACACATTGTAATTGCAGCCACATAAAAGTCTATAATTGCCAAATCGTTTTTCTAAATTATCAGTGGTGAATTTTCCAGGCAATGTCAAATTGATTAAATGAATATTCAATTATATTAAGTAGAGTCAGCGTGCTTTGATATAGAGCTGTATACGTTTCTGGTGTCAGGTGTCCATTATTATTCTCTAGATTATGCCATTTTTCTAACCATATCAGGAATTTTTTTAAAAATTGTACTCTATAATCATATTTATTGGTAATAGGCTTACAAAATTCGTTTCGCTTCAATTCTCCTTTTATTACACTTGTATTACTGACAATATCCCACCAATTCCTGATTATTTCCAAAAAGTGTGCAGCATCATTAAACTTTAATTCTTTCATAGCAGCTATTGTTGAGTGATGGAATAAATTATCTACAAAATTTACATTTTGCCTTTCAAATGAATTTGGATGCAATGTTTTATAATTTAATTTATATGCTTTCTTAACTACAGCTTCTTTTTCCAATTGATATACAGCACGAATGTTTTCAAATTTAGCATACTGAATAATATCATTATTGTCAAAATTAGGATATACAAAAGTTTTGTCTAGGTTTTTTAAATTAATCCAATTATTTCTGATACTCTTGAAAATATGCACAACATCATAAGTTAAATATATGTTCTTATCAGGATTATGTGGATTTGGAATAGAATAATTTTCTGATGAATCCTTTGCTAATTTCCTGAACATTGCTCTATTAATTCGGTGATTATCAGTAACAACACAAATAACTTCAAATCCACATTTTTGAACTAAATTTATCTTTGATCTTATCCATATCATCGAAATTCTGGATAGCTTTTTCATGTTTCTCAATTAATTTTTGTTTTCTTTGCATTGGGTCAGTTCTTTTGGGTGCTTCAGTTTTTGAAAGATATGATGGCAAGTTTGGGAAAATGGAGGGAACAGCATTTTCTTTCAATTTTGGATATTTCAAAGGTATATTATTTTGGACTGTTCCATCCGCCAAAACTATATTTTCTGTCCTGATGATATCCGATTCTCTAAAATGACGACTGCACACAGCTGAATATTTTGAAGGTGTCCAATTTTTTCTGGGAATTGCCATAAGCCATTTGTTTTTCAGACTTTCGGTACTTGGGAAGCGAAAAGTTGAAACATAGCTTTCTGTTTTCAAAGCAGAATTATAGTTTGCATTGCATAAAGCAACAACGAGGCATATTGTCTGCGTCAAATACTTGATAAATGAAAAAAGAAAAATACAACCTGAATTTGCACGTTTTCAATAGTTGAAATCCTTAGCGTCCTGAGGCGCGAACAGCCACAGTCACACTTCTTAGTTTATTTTTAAAGCACAGAAGCACTACAACTGGAGTCTATTTCTCATATTATAGTCACCGATCACTTTGAACACATACACACACTTTGAAGCTTAGAAAACAAGCTTATCTCTTAATTACAGCCTCTGGGATTCCAAAATCACAAATTGAAAAGGTTATGTTTTCTCAGCGTTTTGAGCACGAGTTGCGTCGATGCAGCAAGCAGCGGCGGGGAGTAACACTACCACCTACGTTGCCCAGATTTCTTTGTTCACGGCTCGTAGTTGACGTCGGCTGTGGTTTAACTATTCATATCGTAATATCGTCAACGTTTATCGATTTTGTCGTTTTAAACTCACTTATCTTCCTCATTTAGCAACAATTAATCAGAATTTTCACTCCTAAAAACAACTTTATTACTAACATAGCGTTCCGAGCACCTCTATGGGTAATTAATGTAATTATTTTACGATTTAAACATGCTTGACCATGCTAATTATTTATTTTCCTTTTTACACTTAATTGTGTACAGGAATCGTCAGAAAATACATTCATAAAATGCAATATAGGATTTAAATAAAATACAAACACAGGAAAACCAGATTTGTCTGACGGCTTGAGTTCAATGTGTACGAAAGACAAGCGCGATGTGTATCAACACATGTTAGAAAGAGACAGAGGCTGGCTGAAGAGGTCATCACCACATTGCTTAGCAACGGTGATGTACGTTGCCACGTTGCCAATATGTTACTCCAGAAAATGTTCGCACAAGCTTCTACCATAATACTGGACAACAAATTTTAGTTTTTTAATTGTATCTTGTGGGAAAGTGCACTTCTTTGTTAATTTTGGGGGCGCTGAATCCAAAAATGACAATGAAATAAAAAAATAGTTGCGGTTTAGAA